GTTGCAGTTCCTCTCACCAACACAAATATGGTGCTGCTTTATTGATTATCACAACCTGAGGGATAAAAAATTATTCATAATATTTTGCCTATTGTGTGTGTGTGTGTGTGTGTGTGTGTGTGTGTGTGTGTGTGTGTGTGTGTGTGTGTGTGTGTGTGTGTGTGTGTGTGTGTGTGTGTGTGTGTGTGTGTGTGTGTGTGTGTGTGTGTGTGTGTGTGTGTGTGTGTGTGTGTGTGTGTGTGTGTGTGTGTGTGTGTGTGTGTGTGTGTTAGAAATAATAAACATGAATTATACACTGGACAACCATCCATACTGGATACTCTTTGGAGTCCACCTGATTAAAGATGGCTGCCACAGCAGATCAGTCTGAGACAGCCCAGAATGCTAGAAGTATGTATCTAAATCCTTATTCAGGCCTCTTACTCTCTTATTTTTGATCTTAGAATGTTTTTATGTTTGCCAATAATCTATTTTCCACTTATCCTGGGTTGAGTCACAGGGGCAGCAATCAAAGCAGGGAGGCCCAGACGTCCCTCTCCCCAGCCACTTGGGCCATCTCCTCCTGGGGAATCCTAAGGCGTTCCCTGACCAGCCGAGAGACATGGTCCCTCCAGCGTGTCCTGGGTCTTCTTTTAGGTCCCCACCTGGTTGGATGTGCCCAGAAAACCTTACCAGTGAGGCACCCAGGACGCAGGACCTAATCCCTGATCCGGAAAAGACCTTCTACCGTGTTCTGACCATGGTCTCAAACTTTGAGAAACCGATTCTCATCTTTCTGCTAAATATAAAAATCAAGTCACTCCTACACAATGAGTTGGCGCCACTTTAGTAAGAAAGGTTGGGCGCAGTTTGGAGTTGTAAACTGACCACGCTGCACCAAGTCTGGTTGCCGAATGATCATTAACTCAACAACTCGTCAAGTTTCTGGTCTCAACATTTGATGCCAAAGAGCATCAGCATAATCCCACACAACAACCTCATCAGATCAGAATGAGTGGGTGTCTGCTCTTGGGAATAGCAGGGCATTTTATCTGATTTGGAACCATAGTTTTAATTTTGATCAGATTAGTAATAATAACTTTATTTATACAGCGCCTTTAAACAAAGGGCTGCACAGCATAAAAGATAAATAGTACCCCAGTATAGAAACAGCATCAGCTACAAGTAAAATACACATACGCAATAAAATCAAAGATAAAATAAGCTACAAACAGGAAATAGGTTAAAATGCCTAAAAAGAACTGAATGATCAATCAGTAAACACTTTAATAAAAGGTGCGTTTCCAGTTTAGCTTTGAAAACTTCCACCAAGCAGGCTTGTCTGACATCCTGTGGCAGAGCAAATGCACGCCCAGCTACAGTCATCCACTTTCGTTTCAGGATGTGTAAATTAAATGTATGTAATAAATGTTTAGTAATGATATGGACATATATTAATGTCAGGGTCTGCTCCTGTAGCCTCCTGTGTGTCTGGTGTCTCCCTTGTTAGTGTTGATTGACTCACCTGCCCCACGTTACCTCACCCACCCGTTTCCCTGATTATCCTCATGTATTTAAACCCTTTGTGCTCATCTGTCAGATCCTCGTCTTGTCCTCCTGTCATGGCATCCTAGATGCCAATAAGTTGGTTATTTGCTTACCTGCAACTGTTGGAACTAAAAGCTGTGTTTGCGTACGTGCTTTGCAGAATGCAAAACATGAAAAAGGGGCGGGGCAACAATCCATGAGGCTGGAGATTATCTGATTAGAGAAATAATTCTCCAGGTGGCCCAGCTGGATCCTCTGGACAGGGCATTGCAGGATGGCAGGTGCAGGGTCTGAGTGAGCAGCAAAGGTGTGAATGGGCATGTCCGATCATCCGGGATGCATCAGAGTGTGCCACCTCACATCTCCAAGTGCTTCTTGGCAGAACAAAAACAAACAAAAAAATCCAGCCTGCTCACCGCTGAGACCTTTGGGGTCAGATCCTTCTGTCATGTTGTGGAGTTGTTGGGACCCAAATGCAGGAGAGCAAATAAATGATGCAGGTAAAGAAAGAACTGATTTAATTTAACAGTGGCAGGTACGATGACATGATAGGAAGATAAGATGAGGATCTGACACCGACAACCACAAACAGTTTAAATACACGAAGACAATCAGGAAAATAGATGGGTGGGGTAATGAGGTGCAGGTGAGTTCAATTAACACTAACAAGGGAGACCTACAGGAGCAGATCCTGATTATTAGTCTTTTAGTTTTATGACTGTAACATCAACCTGTCCAGGAACTGGAAATTAGCATCTCTGCTATAACCTGGTGGCAATGCCTCTTTCCTTTATGGTTAATGTCAAAATGTGCACCGTCTGTTAATAAACTTCTACTATAATTTACTGTAGCAGGGGTGTCCAATCCTGGTCCTGGAGGACAGGTATCCAGCATGTTTTAGTTTTAACTCCACTTCAACACACCTGATTTTAATCAGCAGGTGATTAACAGGCTTCTGCAGAGCCTGATGAGTTGCTGTACAGGTGATTCAATTGCTAGATCAAGTTTGTTGGAAGAAGAACAACCACAAAACCTGCTGGATACCAGCCTCCAGGACAGGGATTGGGCACCCCTGTACTATAGCATACTATATGTCTATGACCATTAGAGCAGACCAGCCAGAACACAGCAGCAAGTTCATCAGTGTGATGATTTGTTGGTTTGTTTATCCAATGAAAAGACCAAATGCTGGTTGATGTTCCACCTTTAATCATGTCTGTGTGAGCTAAACGTGGTTTTTCATTCACAGTAAGACAGGCCAGTGATCGTCTGCCAGCTCCAGAGTGTCAGACATGTCGTTTGGTCAGTTTTACTGTCACACACAGATCAGCTGCTGCAGTTGCAATCAGCCCATTACTGCTTTTCTCAGCAGCCATTGCATTCCCAGCAGCGTTTCTCCCTTTTTCCTGCCCCTCCGTGCGATGTATTACGTGGATATGAGGGAGGAGGGTCGAGTGTCCACCGGTCCTCCCATCACCTGTGAAATTTCAGAGCCAGGCCACGGTGAAAGGGGGCATTGTGTCACCCTAACTAGGAATGCCCTTGCGTTCCTAGTCAAAGAAAAGGCTTCATCCAGCCAGGAATTTGGAGACATCTCGAGAAGTGTAAGACAGATTTTCTCCAGAGTGGGAATGGTGCGGTGACCTTCAGAAAATCAGACTGCAAAAGAGGGACATGCCTCCTTTAAGTAGTATCTATCTGTACTTCAGTTAAATGAACTACAGATATAGAAGTAAAGTCAGCAGAGGTCTAGAACTGGAGTTTTTCTGAAAAAAAAATCTCAGTTTGACCATTTTCCCCCAACTTTTGATTTTTCAGTTGGAAAAAAAAACTCCAGATTCTAGTAGTGGAAAGAGGATATATATATATATATATATATATATATATATATATATATATATATATATATATATATATATATATATATATATAAAGAGATTATAATACTTTTAAACATCACTCCCAAGTGTTGTAACATAGGATTAGTCTGACACCTGCTGGTGAAAATCATCCTTGCTGCTGTTTTGTTTACAGGTGAGCAGATTAAAGCTATGAATAAGCAGAATACCTGCAGCATCTTATAATGGGCTGCCTGCCTTGGCCTAGAGAGAGGAACGCTGCCAGCTTTAACAAATCACAGATTGCTATGCAAAAACCCACAATGCTAATTAATTAAAAGCAAAACATATAAAAGAGTTTGATAAAATGCATAAAAAACATTTATTTTCATGTAAATAAACTTTAAATGTGGGTTTACTGCACAACATTTGCATGTCTTTTAAATGAGAATAGCATATAAGTGGCCAGTTCTTAATATGTTTTGCTAATATTACGTTAACAATGTCTGTATTAACAAAAAAGATGAGAGTGAGCACGTCTGTGGGGAAAATGTTAGAACTGGATTAAACAATAGGTGAGGAAGAAAAAGGGGATCTGAGGCACTCGGTGTGAACAAAGGAAAAGCTGACTGTCTGTTTTTATGGTGGACTGCTCTAACAAACACACATTATCTATTGGAAGGTTGCTAAAGCTTGAATAAGAGTGATTTGGGAATGTGTTTCATCTACAGAAAGCCATCGAGTGGAGCCAGTTGAGGTGGCTCGAGCATCTGGGAAGGATTCTGCCTGGACTCCTCGCTGGTGAGGTTTTCCGGGCACGTCCAACTGGGAGAAGGCCTAAAGGAAGACCCAGGACACGCTGGAGAGACTATGACTCACAGCTGGTCAGGGGACACCTTAGGATTCCCCCAGAGGAGCTGGTCTAAGTGGCTGGGGAGAGGTACGTCTGTGCCTCCCTGTTTAGGCTACTGCACCCGCGACCCAACCCTGGATAAGCGGCTGAAAATGGATGAATGGATGGTTTCATCTACATTCATTAGTTACTAAAAATGTGTTATTAAATTTTACTTATCTTCCATGTTACCCTTCAAATCGTATTCCATATAATTCAAAGCTGTTGTGATCAAAAATGTAACTCTTTTTTTACCTATTTGTATTTTATTTGTATACAGTTTCTGTTTAATTTTTAAGTAGATTATACATTTGTTGTGACATCCAAATGCATTTATGCATTTCCTGTTTAAAACAAAATATGGACCTTTAAAAAAATCAATGTCTTGAGTGTGTTTAATAGATTCAGCTGTGTATTTACTTAACTTTGAACCTAAAAACAAATAGTTTTTAATCTAACATGTTTGGTTAGGAACTAGAAATTTGTAAAACAAAATTTGCAAGTAAATATATTTATTTTGTATTTTATATTAATAACTTGATCATTAATAACTAATCTGATATGTTTAAGCAGGATTGATTTAGCTTGTAGAATTAATCTTGTTGATCACAATTGAAATGGATTCATTGCATTTTAGTAGTTGGGTAGTTTACATAAGTGAAAACGTTCTCTGCTTAACTCTGCTGTGAAACATCAGAAAACCAACGCCTAGACAAGCGTCACGTGTCGGTAGGGGGCAGCAGTGCGCTTGAACGTACAAAGTCTTCCAGAATATAATGAAGTAGAGGAAAACCCCGGAAGCAGTATTGTTTACACACAGCTCTGGGTTGCAGGTATGAAACAAGTTTGTTAGTTTTATTGCTTGCTCGTTAAAGTTTTATTTCTTTATTTTTGCTTTGTGTTGAATGTAATTCACATTTTTGTGTCTCTGGTTAGCAGGATAACTACGAATTTACTTCTCGTTTGTCTTAGCATTAGCCACAAGCTAGCTCGTAGTCGAGAAGAATGGCGTTAAAACAAATGGTGATTTAACTTTAAATAGCTCGTTCACTGTTAAACATATGCTTTAAATGCGTTTAAAGCAGTATATGGAAGCAGTAGAGTGGGTTATTCAATTCGGGAATGTTTATTTATCTTCGAAATTTCGTAATTTTAAAGAATTTGTTCACGAAGCAACAGCACATGAAGCTTAAATCCTCTCAAATGTTTTTGTCACAATCTCAGCAACCTATAAACAAACATTGACGGTTGTAACTGGTAGGAATGTTAGCAATAAAGTATGTTTGGTAAAAATACTGGAATTGTAATAATTGCTAGATTAAATGTGATGTGACTGCCAAAAGAAAAACAGCAACTTGATAAAAATAAAACTGTTTTCAAGTGGCAGCTGATTCAAGACTCTGTGTGGTATAACTTCTATATTTTCTGCTTTGTTACACACAGAGAAATGGACCAAAATGAAGACATGGTCCAAACTAACAGCAGGACGCTGCTCGTCCGCCACCTACCAGCTGAGCTGACCAATGACGAGAAGGAAGACCTCTTGAAATATTTTGGAGCTGAATCAGTCCGAGTCTTCTCAAAATGGGGTCGTCTGGTAGGTTTTGCTTCGTCAAGTCCTACGTCTAATGTCTTTTGAGTTGACGTGAACAGATTTGTCCATCTCCACAGAAACATGCAGCTTTTGCAACATTTAGAAGTGAGAAGATGGCAGCAAAGGTCAGTACATGCTGTTCGGGTGCCATTGAATGAGATTTTTGGATATTATTTCAGTTTTTTTTTTAATACTGTTCACTCCTCTAAACCTGTAGGCTCTCAGCAGGCTCCATCAGTTGGAGATCCTGAATCAGACGCTTGTCGTGGAGTTTGCAAAAGGCCAAGATAACATTACAGTTCTACAGGATCAACCAGTTACTGACAGGTAAGTGCATAAATCAACCATGGAGCGTCACCCCTTTCACTTGATGACAAATCAATGAGGTTTTATTTTCTGCTTTTTTATTTATTTATTTTTATTTTGGCACAGTCTTGTCAAAGTTCAGCAGAAGACAAAGGAGCAAAAACTACCAAACATTCCACTGATGGATACAGGTGTTGCTCCCAGTCTTGGGTAAGCCTTTTCCTCACTGTCATCGTTTCACCCAAACTACACTGATGTTTGCATAGTCATGAGTGTAAGGGAGGAAGCCAGAAAGAGATGGAAGCTCTTCAGCTGAATCAGCCTGAAGGCTGGCTGACTCTGCTCCAGATCTGAGGTCTGGATTTAGGAGCTGTCTAACTGGGTCCAGGTAGACAACCAGTTTGGCTTTGACAGGAATTTGGTCTATCTGGCTGAGGTGACCAGGTGGTCTCTGATACCTCTCCCTCTTGTAAGCAACATAATTTGTTACTGGTACTTTAGTTTTATATATTTAAATACATTTGAAAATGATTGAAAAACTAAAGAATTTAGCATTTAATAAATACCTTTCCTGCTATCCAGATGGGGTGAAATCAGAATTAGGGGCAGCTTTCCAGCTTTACATGTGATGTGACCATTTAACTCAGATAGGTAAAAGCTCACAGCTGAATTAGTGCTTCAGTTGATTGTGAAGGAAAACTTAAAATCTCTTTTTAAATTTGTCGGAAAACAAGCGCCTGACTTGCTGTCTAAAACGTTAAATTTACACAAGGTTAGAAAAACGGAGCTAATTATTTTTAAGATGTTTCAAACACATTTGTTTTTGAAAGTGTCACTTTTAGATTCTCCTAAGGCAAGTTTAGATTTCAAACATCTCTGGTTTCTGATCAGTTTTTTATTTTTTTATTTATTCAAATTGACCAAAATGAATTTATTAGACGGATTTGATCTTTACTTTTTCAACACATTTTATTGTTGCTTCTGAATTAAAGTCCTCCTGGCTCTACCTTCTTATTGCTGTCACTTATTAGTCATTTTACAGAAACGGATGCACATAAATGTGTTTTTATCATTTCTACCATCTAGATTTTAGAATCAATCCCAAACCAGTGTTTTGAATCAGACCTCAGATCCTCCTAGATTCTCGTAGCTCTGCACATTTCCGTTTGTCTTTGGGTAAAACACTCAGATGATCAAGGAGTTCTTCTTCTGTTGAGGTTCATTTCAGGGCTGTAAATGCTTGTTGAGGACTTTTCTTAAGATTTTGATGCCACAAAAGTAGGTTTGAAGAATATGTATTGTGTTTAATGTTGCCCATTTCATTTGACACGTTTGCTTTCGTAATTTATTTCTTTTTTAATCCCTCAGGTTGAAATTTCAGTCAAATCCCTCCCTGAAGTATTTCTACCCTCCTCCATCCAGCAGCATCCTGACTAATATAACACATGCCCTCATCAGTGTGCCTAAGTTTTATGTTCAGGTGAGTAGAATCTCTCTTTCTGATAGAATTTTATTACTTTTATGTGCTGATGTGAAACTTCTGTGTTTTAATTCTGAATGCTGACCCGTTTTCTAATCTTTGGAAAGTGTGAATTTGCAGTAAAAATACAAAAATAAGGCGTTTTATTGCCTTTGGGTTGATATGAAATAGACAGCTGATTCAGGAATACGAGTCCCCGGGGTCTGAGGACGGCGCCAAGCGCTTAAAGATCAAACAGCAAACATTTGCCTTTTAAATCTGAATTTTGGGAGCAAGAATTAATAATAAAACGTAAGTGGGAGGCACGAGTTATGGGTTTAACATTTCCCTGGAGCAGAGCTGCCTAGGATTATCAGCAGAGGTACTTCCTGTTGTAGCATCTTGGTGGTGCTGGTGTGTCACAGAGAGGCTGCTGCAGGTATCTCACCTTCATCCTGGTGTCTGTATGCAGGAGTCGGACCGGCTCTTTGACACACGGAGCCTGCGATAGCGGCGATTTCCAGCCTCTCATTCGTGTGCTTTAAATTTAACAGGTTCTCCATCTGATGAACAAAATGAACCTACCGAGTCCGTTTGGTCCCGTCACAGCCAGACCGCCACTGGTGAGCATCTGGACTTGGATTGGTGACATCACTGGTTATTAGATCATGAGGCTGTTTGTCATGAAGGCAGTCATCACAGATCACTGAGTGGAGAAAACACTGATGGTGTTAAATCATGTAAAAACAGCAGAATAGGAGGAAACAAACAGGTTCTGACGAAGGTTTCTTCTGCCGCTTTATCTTTGTAATCACCTGGTTAAAAACAGATAAAATAGTATTTATGGTCTCGTATATTTTTATTTTCCCAGACTCATGTGTTTTTTATTTTTTCACCTTTTTAAGAATTTCCTTTGTGTTAATTTCCATAAAGTTTCTGTATATTTTGTAGTTGCCTAACAATATGTTCATGTTCTATTACTCTTGATTCTTTTGTGGTTATTTCCCTGAAAACTACCAAAAAATTTTTTTTCAATCAAACTCAAATGTGATGACACCACAATGAGCAGCTCTTTAAAAGCTAACCCATAGTTTACGTCTCCTGCAGTATGAGCATCGCCCTCCTGTTCCCTCCTTCCCCATGCCCCCTCCACTACCTCCTGACTACCCCCCCTTACCGGTGGAGGAGATGGATCTGTCCAGTGGGGAGGAGTCGGAGTACGAGAGCGGGGACGATGAAGACAAAGAAAGGTGAGGAGCAAATGGGCCCTTTAGGTCGTTACTTCCCTTTAGTAAATAGTGTGTGGGTGTGGGTGTGGGTGTGTGGGTGCGTGCGCTGCCCCTGATTAACTTAAAGATGTGAGACACGCTTTCCAGGCTTTTAGTTTGCCCAGAGCTGTAGAGAGAAGAGAGAGTTACGACACTCCAATAGACTTCTATGGAAAGACTGGGATGCAGAAGTCACGTGGTTCATGTAGCTGTGAATGGATCCAAACAGCCCTGCTGCTGCAAGGCTATTCAAAAGTTTCATTAGGTCTTGAGTACATTGCTCATAATTCATTATTCAGCTTATTTGCGCACATGTAATGACTAAACATAATGTTGGTAAAAATGCTTTATTAAAAATGCTATTATACATGTTGTACAAGGTTTGTGTTCATTTTTTAACAATTAACACTTTTTTTATCTACTGTGTTTGACCAAACAGTTTTATTGAAATTTTCTTTAAGTAGTTGCTATTAGTCAGGCTATAGAAGCCAGATAAACTGGGTTATAGATGCATGTACTACTGTCTTCACATAAAAATATAAAGTAATGATTGTAAAATGTATTCTATAATATAATAGATTATCATTAAAAGCATAAACAGCTACATATTTTCTTCAAGGTAAGCTGGAGCAGAATTCTAGCTTTCAATAAACCACTTGTGGATATTACAACTTGAGTTTAGGGCTTCTTGTAGGACTTAGTTATTAAATATGCTCATATTAGAGCAGTGTGTTGCATTACTACATCAAATTTATTGCTATAATATAGTAATGTATGTGGTCTAAATGTGTTCTACAGTGTGTTAGGCCTGTCGTATTCCTGTCATGTAGAACAGCCACGGGTGTTTGTCTTCCTACAAACGCTCGGAAAATAAATAAATAGGCTACTTTGTGAATGAATTGGGACATAATACATAATATAATATATAATATTATTCAATAATGACCAAAAATCACCAGGGGAAATGTGACGATATTCAATTTTTGTGATTTGTCCTACCATACGCCGTTCAAACGGACTTACGGCGCTGGGATGTTTGGAACTATTGAGAGCGCCATGAACCACAGTCTGCGAGTTCAAAACATGTCGCAACGCTCTCTTTCTATAGCTCTGAGTTTGCTCATATATGGTCTGTACCAATGTTCTGACCCGATGGGTTCTAGTTTGTGACCCGATTAACCCTTAACCCCCTCCGCTTGTTTTGTTTCAGGATTGCTCGTCTGATGGATCTTGTCAACCAAACATGCAAGAGACCCCTAAGACCCAAAACCTCCTCAAAAAGAAAGAAGCCCAAGATCAAAGATCTGCTTTATGCTCCCAAAGCTGATTCCCAAAGGTAGAGCGAAAGCACTCGTGCACGTCCCAATCCTCGGGCCTGATTGGTCGGGGTGATGTTAATGAGCAGGTTAAAAGCAAAGATCTTAAGTCAACAAATTTTTCACACGAGTTGAGGCTCCTTGTGTTCCATGTTCTCCTCACACACACACACGTTATAAACACGTCACACATAATGTTTCCACGTTATGAACACACACACCCCACAGAGAGATCTCTGACCTAAAGCCAGGTTTCCGGTTAAGTGTTTTTGTCTCTGCTGCCGTCAGCGCTCCGGTTCTGGATCCATCCGATGTGTTCGAGCAGCCGAATCCCACCGGTCCGAAAAAAATAGAATTCCACATATCAGTTCCAGAAACGGCTGCCGGCATAGAAGGAGTGGACTCCAGCCATCCTGATGACAAACGCAAAGGTGAGAGGTCACGTTTTCTATTTCTGTTTAGAGTTTTTACGTTTCTCATAGTTTATAATACATTTTTGTAATAAAAAATAAAGTCATTGTTCTTGTCAGCTATTCCAGGGCTCTTGATCTTTCTGTACGTATTATTTTATTTATTTATTAATCTTTTTATTATCACACTGATGGTTTGTTTCCCCGTCGACTGGAATTGTGACTCGGCTAAAGCTATAGCCCTGTTTTACCTCAGCAGTAGATCAAAGCAGAAACTTGAACTATTATCTGTGTGTGACAGAGGGTACGCTGTGTGTGGGCTTCCCTCTGTCTCACACACACACACACACACACACACTAAAAGGTAAAGCAGATCTCAGATGAACATAAAGGATTTCCTAGAGGCAGGAGAGATAAACTATGACGGGTGTCTTTCTGTGAATTGAACTTGTTCTGGAGGAGGTGAGGGAGTAGCTCTGATAAACAAGCCATTTAAATGGGGGGGGGGTAAGGTGGAAGGAGGTGTGAAGGCTGTGATCTGGTCCTCTCCAGAGTGTGTATCTGTAAAGCTCCTTGCTTCAGTACTCACACATACCTTCTTCTGTGTCTGACAAGCCTTGCTTTCCTTCTCCGAATTTGTCCAGGATTGCTGCTCTTTTCCATCGACAACACGCATGTGCACGTGCACACACACACACACACACACACACAAAGGATTTACCCGTTATCCTGCTGCTCTGAATCAGAAAAACACTCTTAGGACTTCTTCTGGCAACACTGTGTATTTTATCATTCATGATTCATTAGTCGTCTTAGTCACAAGTGCAGCAGAGATGATGTTTTGTTATTTGTTTCCTCTGACTTCCAGGGGATGAACCTGAGGAACTCCTCAAGAGCGGTCAGGAGGTGGCTGAAGGTTTTGGGAAGCTTTATCCCAGCGCTCAGACATTCCAGCAGCAGGAGGAGCAGAGCGATGACGAGCGGGAGCTCATGTCAGATGTCATCTCCAGGAAGGAGCTGGAGAAGGGCCGGCTGTCCAAAGATGGTAAGTAGGAGCTTAAAGCACAGAAGGTCTTATCCCGCATGCGTAGAGTAAAATCAACATGGAGGAAAACGTTTCAGGTGAGCAATGTGCTCACCGTTACAACACTCACCCTTTCATGTGAGCACAACATCTGTAACTTCCTCTCTCACATTCTGCTGAGGAGTGGTGATGCAACAGGAACGGAGGCAGGCGTTTGTTTGAAATGCATATTAGAATAAAACAGGAGGTAGTTGGGAGGCTGAAAAACAAAACAATAAAAGTGCAAACTCTGTAAAATTCAACTTGGAATGAGATGCTGATGCATCCCCCCGTGGAGTGGTGGGTTTTAACATCAGCGCTACCTTTCTAAGTACCAAGGAGGAATGTGTGTTTCTTTGTTTCACTTATAATTAGATTCCGTTCATCACCACCGTGGTTCCGTGTGCCAGATGTTCAGAGCCGATCATCAAAGACACATCTGTCCTGATGTATTGTCTTTGAACACAGATTCAAAAAGTTTCAGCCTCTCTGGTTTCTAATAATCACAAAAGGGTTTTAGTTCAACACACCAGTTACCTGCTTTAATTCTCCTCTTGTCCTCAAATTCCTCTGAAGCCGTTCCGTTTAGGAGAAGGAACTGTTTTATTACAGCCGCGACACTCGTCTCTCATCAGGTCATTTATGTCAGCGAGTCGTTATAGCCCAGTTCTCCGAGCGTCTGCAGTGACCGGGTCTTCCTCCGCTATTGCTTTGTTCCTGCTTTTACAATTCTTCTCACGTTATTCCTTTTCTCTCCTCTTACTTCAACAGAGATAAAAAGGATGTCTGTTTATAAAAGCTATGAAGCGGGCGAGCCCACCTGCAGGCTGTATGTGAAGAACATCGCAAAGCAGGTGGAGGAGAAGGTAGGTCCACTTAGGGCTCGTTCACTAGAATCATGAATGGTGGTCCCTCTAGTAGGCTGTTGATGCTTTTGAACTATTTCCTGTTCAGATTTTTACCAACATTAGGCTTTTCTGAGCCGTGCAAATGAAAATCCTGATCATCAAATAAGTTTTGTAACTTTTAAATCAAGAAAATCACATTTTGTGGCCTGTAGGCACTTTGAACTTGATGAGTTTGACCCTCGTCTTAAAAGGTTTGGACACCTCTGGCTTAGACTCAGTGTCATTAGTAGGAATGTCCCGATTGGGTGTTTTTGCCCTCCAGTCCGAGTCATTTGATCATGAGCATCTACCGGTGCAGAGTCCCGATCCGATACTTCTAGAAAACATTTAAAAAAAAAAAAGAATAAACAAGCGGAGAAACAGATCCTGGATGTTTATTATTTTTTATTAAATTAATTTTATTTTAACATTTAACAGCTCTGTTAACAGACAGAGCACTTCTGTGAGGTAGCTTCAACAATGAAGTGATGCATAACAAATTCTTCACTTTTGGGCTTCTGTGTAATGTTATCAACTTTATACCTCCAAACCGCTTTCTGCTTCAAGCTGCTTCCATGTTCTGCTTAGCCAGCGTTTAACCAATAGTGTCTCTGCAACAAAGTGATGTCAGGAGGTAACGTCTGATTCTGACAGTCGTTTTAAAAATAATCGTTTACCCCCAGCCCTACGTATCGCCCAGCCCTAGAAGGGAGGAAAATAAAATAAAAATGGGACCTGGACATCCCTAGTCACTGAATTTGGGTTCTATATAAATCGCAACACTTAAAAATCTCCTTTAGCCAGTGATGTTTAAGCGCTACAGACCGACTGCCTCTAGAGGAGAAGAAACACCTTTTAACTGTCCTGTCAGGAATTTAGTTAAATCCTGACGACCTCTGTCTGACTCGGGCTACTAGAGAGCTGCTCATGGACCAGAATACTTTATATGATGACAGCATTAATCAGCAGTCTTAATACTGTAGAAAGGGAAAGTGCTTTGGGCTGAATCACTTGTTAATTTTGTTTTCTAGGACCTGAAGTACATCTATGGGAGATACATTAACCCCGCCTCAGAAGCTGAGAGGAACATGTATGTAAACACAACTCTGCCTCTCTCCCGTTTTCATCTGGTTGATCTATTCTCGTCTGCAACAATTATCCACTTTCTCTGGAGACTTTTTGGTAATTCATGCTGACTTTGCCTCGTGTTTTTAATAAGTATCTAAACTGATCCAGAGATCATGAGGGACGTTTTGATGTTTGTGCATCAGCAGTACTTCAAATAGCTCTTCCACCTGAGTCATCAAAGCCTCTACTTAAAACAGAGCCGAAAACCTCGGTCAGGGGCTCCGCTGGGCCTTTAGCTCCCATTTTAATAGGCTACCAAGTTAGCTTCAGTTAGTAGTGATCATAATAATAATAATCAAGAAAGGTGGTCGCTTGAATGTTGCCATATCTGCTGTCTTGAAGCAAAAAAAACTTTTAGTTGGACACAAAATCAGATTCCAAACATCTGTTTGATGTTTGTGCTAAACAACATTCTACAACTTACCCATTTTGGTCAAAAATGTCAACATTTTTGGCCCCCTTGCTAAAGTTTCCTGGATTTGTAATTAAATAAGCACCATTAGGTTTTGCGCTACTAAAACTTGACAAGTATTTGATGTTGGAAGGGAGTAGGGCTGGGCAATAAATTGAAAATGTATCGTTATCGAAATTTCTGACTCTTATCGAGATAATTTTTCCCATGTCAATAAATTTGATAATAAAAATAAAGATGTGTGTAGGTTGGCAACATTCATGTCTCGTTAAGAAGCTGTACCCAATACATGTGACAGCCCCATCTAGTGGACAGCTTTTTTTCCTGCGCATACCTGTAGTGATCATCCATTTATCGTTATCAAGGTGAAATCCTCATATCGTGATATTGAAGGGTCGTAACACCACTCGCCTCACGCACATAAGTGACCAAAACAAAGCAGCATGGAGACACTATGTCTCCAACCACCTCTCAGGCAGCAGCCTGCACTCCCAAGTTCTACACGTCACCAGAACATAACCAACCGCAACACAATAAAAGCAGTGTTATACAAAATGGAAGGCCTGTAGTGTTTATTCTCTTACAGTAACAATTTATCAAAGTTTTTGAGGAATTTATTAGAGATTTTTTGGTTTTTAATTGTGCAATAGAAAAATAATCGCTAGATTAATCGTCTAAATAGTCATTAGAATAGTCGACTATTCGATAAAATAATCGTCAGAATAATCGTTTTAAAAATAATCATTTACCCCCAGCCCTGCGTATCGCCCAGCCCTAGAAGGGAGGAAATAAAATAAAAAAGCAGAAACATTTTATAAACGTATCCAGACCAACTTTTGTTTTCAGGAGAAGATCTGCTTAATAAACCCACATGAGCCGAACCTAAAGGTGTGGATCACTGAAAAAGCATTTTTACTTATTATTTCTAATTACAATCAGTCACACTTTCATGTAGGCTTTACAGAATCACCCATCTTGGCTCACAAAGGAGAAGGCTGTTGTTGGTTTAGAGTCTAGAAATCAGCAGAGAACGTCTCGGCTAGCAGACGCTAACCGTTAGCATTAGCGGTTCCACCACATGGCAGAAGTCCTCCAGGCTTGTGTTACTGCAGAGCAAACAGTGTCAGTCGTAGAGTCACGTTGCTCTTACATCAGGAAGAATCTGCACGTTTTTGAACGTTATCCGTTCTTTCATAATCCGTTGTCGAATTGTGATCGGCAGAAGCTTTTCTGGTTCGCGCCTCACTTATTTTACAGCGACGTCCCAAAACGATCTCCTAACACATGGATTTTCTGCTTCCTGATCATGTGACATGTGACGAACGCGGATGAAGATCGGCTTGACAGCTGGGAAGTTCTGACGGTGCAGGGACTCGTTCTGACACCCACACAGTTAAAAAAAATGCAAATGACGACTTTAGTTGTCAATGGCAGTTAATGAGTTAATTATAAAAAATCAGTTTAAATTGCTGTCGGGACTACATAAGTGGTCATGTTAACCATTGTTCCCCTTAACTATGTCAGGCTAAATAATTAAAATCACATTTACCAGCAGATTTCCTGTAATAACCTCTGGTACTACAGTCCATGCTGCACATTACTGAACATGAGTGGGATCCTTTTTCCTGCCCGTCTTTTACTTCCTTGGAGAGCGGCTCTGAGGACAGCCAGCCGTCAGCAGCAGGTCCTATTCTGAATGATTACGTTTAGCTTAAATTGCTGGCCAGTTAAAATCGATTGTTTGGAATCAAAACCTGCAGCTGGTCTGCTATCACTGACTGTTTTACGTGCTTACAGGGGTAGATACCACTTTCCTCCTCTGGCGCTCAATAGGCATGGTTTATTGTTATGCTGGACAGGCCACGAGCCCAGAGTGATAACGATGTGTCCCTGCTTTGCTTTGTTCCTCAGGTTTGACATTGTGTTAATGAAGGAGGGGCGGATGAAAGGGCAGGCCTTCATAGGACTCCCAAACGAGCAGAGCGCTGAAAAAGCCCTGCGGGAAACCAATGGCTTCGTTCTTTATGACAAACCCCTCGTGGTCGTATCCTTTTATCCCCTCTCACAGGTTGAAACCAGAACAAGGTTTGTAAAAGGAGTTAAACAGCAGGCTTTGTGTTTGAATTAAGGTTTAATTAATTTTGGGTGAGAAGGTAGACAGGCACATGTAAATGTGAAATCACTGTTCTTCTTTCCAAAGCTGTTGAAATGAGATCGTGAGGTTTAAAGGAACCAGTACATCTAAAGAGGTGGTAGGATAACACAAACACGTGGAAAAGCCCAGTTATTACACTGAGTGTAACAAGTAATGTGCTTTGATTTATTAAATGGACCCTCCCCTCACAGATGTGTTACTGGCTCAGGCACTCTGAGCCTTCAGGAGGATGGGGACTAATTCCTGGCAGCTCTGAACCACCACCTGCTCTTCCTTCATATCTACACACATAATTATGCATCAACTTTTGAACTTGTCTTATAGAACAAGGGTGGTACCTCTGATGCTGTTTTAATGTGCGTTAAAGGGGTAGTTTACTTTTTTTGTGGGAAAGATTAGCCTGTTATAGATGGAGATTAGTTTTGACCTGATTGAAAAGCTAATAGCTAATCTGACTGGGGACCAAAATGGAGTTTTGCCAATTCTAAATAAACAAATTTACTAGTCCATGCAGATGTTATTTTTTATTATATGGCTGACAGGAGCAACTGCAGCTGGTGGTAACAGCTAGCAGCAGCAACAGCTATCTGCAGGAGCAAGCTGTAGCAGCCATAGGCATGAATATGTAGATGCCCCATTGGGTGCTGGAGAGAGTAACATCATCACCGCCATGTTGGATGGGTTCCTCACTTTCCAAACTCAGCTGGAGTCCATGCTGAGTGAGCAACTATGCCCATTTTTTTGTGTGCAGCCTACAGTTTCAACAACCGCTGTACTATGGAAAGCAGATCACAGTGGTTATTCTACCTGTATTTAATATTTTTTGTTTAATTATATTTTTATTTTTATTCTCATGTCGTACCACATGTCTGATTTTGCCAAACAGCATAAAAAATGGGTTTAAGTTGGTTAAGCACCTTCCGCTGTAGAAATAAATACTGGGGGCGAATGGAGACCCATCCAAGATGGCAGCCGGCCACTACGGCAGCTCCAGTAGGGAGCCTACCATGGGTCCCCAGAAGAAAGAAAAAAATGAATGCAAGCCAACGGGGCTAAAAACGCTATTTTCTAATCCGTCTGCTACGTGTCAATGATTTCACATATGGTGTTTGTGAATGTTAAAGATGCATTCTGATGCTGAGAATGCGCTTATTTTTAAATGGGAAAACTTTATTTTAGGTTTTGCCAGCAGACTGTATTTGCCTGAAATTTGAGTCTACGAGTTCCTTTAACAAGCAGCACATGGAAACCGTTTTTATTTAATCGGTCATTTAGAGGGAAATTGTATTAATCTGTGTGACTGGCAGAATGTGTCACACCAAGTGAGGCGCCCTCAAGAAACACGGCACAGGAGCTCATCAGGTCGGCTTTGGCCAATAGTGTTTTGGTGTCGGGAGGAAGCAGCTGCGACCTTTCATCGAATTAAATTTTTGTTAGGCCAAAGGTGTTATAATGGAGAGAGACTCGGGCTAAAGTTGCCTCACACAGGATTCTGCTTTAGGGTTCCTGTCCATCTGTGGACCTTAACTATAAAATCCACAGCAATTTGCCAGATCTGCAAGACCGAAACAAGACAACTCTGATCCTAAAAAGAGAACAAAACCTCGATGAACAGGTGAGGTGGAGCCTGAAGTCTTAATGTAAAAACAGCTAAAACTGTTATTATGCTGTTTTTTAAACATCACAGGATTTACTGCAACTCTGTTTTAAAATTTGTGTTTATACTTGATTTATTTAAGATACCAAGCCTTGATATTTGGCCCTGCAGACCCATTTGTATCCTTATTCTGACATATCCTTTGGAGGACACAACCAAACCTTGACAGCAAAGGCCGTTCATTTCTAAACAGTTGTGTGTGTCTGGTAGATTAAACCTGAGCATTTGATTAAGATTGTTTTTCAGCTTCTGTTTATGCTTATCTGGATTCTTTTGAACTGATTTCCTCCTTGTTCGGCTGAATAGGTGGTGGTCGTCAGAGGATGTCTTCTTCTATTCCTGCATTATTAAATGAACTCTTTTAATAAAGTGTCTGTTGTCATGTTTTTATTTGATTTAGATCTGAAGCACGTGTCAGATTGTGTGTACACCTCAGCTGGGGGATCACAACTGATTATGTTTAGTCCCAAACTTAAAGGCTTGTCAGCAGAGTAAATACAGACTGGAGATGAGATCTAGATGGGCTCTGCAGCAGATGGTAGGCTGTCAGAGCTGTGGGACAAGTGGAGTCCTGAAGAGAGCAAACACTGCTGTCTGTGGGAAAATGCTTGGGCTTCGTAAGCCTAGCAAGTTTCATCTCTGTTATCTGAGTCAATCTTTGGTAATAGAATATGGGTGGATAAGTGATCATTTTGTTTAGGTACTTGTGTGTAATTTGTTTTTATGGCATTAAAAAGTGTGAAGAGGACGTTGTGGTTTTCATCACCTGGAGCGGGAATGAAGAACAGCTTCCACTAAAATACGTCAGAGCAGCACTACGGGCTAGCAACGGCTAAAAAACGTCCTGTTCTCAGTTTGCCCACACAAAGTAACACGTAAACTTCAGGAAAACTAGGTGTGAAGTTTGTTTTAGGCATTTTTATAATTCTGTAGTTTGAGGCATGATGAATGTTAAATGTTCCATCCATCCTAATTATTTACTTCATTGAGAATCTTGTTCCAGCTGGTGTCTCATCTCCAGCTACCTCTGGGCGAGAGGCAGGGATCTGTCCCAGGGCCATGTTACCATCAGTGGCTAGAAATGAACACTGTTGCAGTTTAACTACAGGGCATTCATACCAGCAGATGTAGATTAAAAGCAGAAAAAAAGATGATTGACCACCCATGAACTTTTCATCCTAATTCCCACAAGCAAACGTTTATGCTGCCTCAAAGCACAGATGACAACAAACAGCCTCTTCCAGCAGCATGTGAAACTCACGAACTTTGACACTTCTGTTGTTTTGGGGTCAAAATTGACCCGTTTTCAAGTTTAACTGTAAAAAGTACACTTTCCTTTTTTGTCCTGGAATGAGGCTTCATCTAATCCTCAGACACACCAATTTAAATGCAGCAAAATCAATTTTCACAATTTAGGTAAATTCTAAAGGTCTCAAAAAAAAAGTTACATCTGTGGCGTTACGGGTCCAAAATGACCCAGCAGAGAAAACTGGCTGTTGTATGCATGGGTTGCTCTGAGGATCAGCCCACATCACCAACACACACCAAATTATGGGTTGTTTCCATTGTTTACATTATGGTTAATTCAGAAAAACATACCTGCGCTAACAACATATTTTCAATGTTCAGTTTATGATCAATGCAGGTGCATGTGCGTGCACACAACCACACACAGTGTTGTTTATCATTGTTCATTTTATGGTTAAATTCTTTGGTTAATTGGTCTGGTTAAATAGAAGTTGGTTTTATGGGAAAAAATTGACTTGTCTTTATCCTACCATTTATCTATGCAGGTCCGTTTTGACCCGAAACACCAAAGATCTCACTATTGTTAATAATTTTAAATAGTAAAAAAAAAATAATTATAGGCCTACATTTTTTGGGGTAGGTGTACTCTAATATTAGTTTATAACACATCTATAGTTTGTTATTACTCATTCTATATGAAAAATACACATATTTAGTGAATTTAAACAGTTTTTGCAATCAAAACAAGTGGTATATTTTAAAATACTGTCTGTGGAGCCAACTAAAAAACTATTCACACACTGGTTCCATTTATATGAATACATACTAAGCTAGCAATTAGCTGAAAAACATTTGAAGAAAACTGGTGATTTTAAGCATTTTTAAATCGTGGGTCCAAATGGCCCCGTCAACACCACATGTGTAAACAGCTTTCTAACACAATACAAAGGTTAAGGTGTCTTTGCTCATTATTTAATATAGTTTAGTTATAGATTGACTATTATTGACTTAAATGATTTATTAGTTTGATTTGCTTAACAAATTTTGAACACATTTTTTTACAAGCCTTTAAAAGGTTCATATGACTTTTTAAAGTTATAATAATGTTGACCTGGTTTTTTTGCACTAAATTCCTCACATAAAGATTTTTATGTAGTTTTATTCTTCACAGTTTCAGTACCTTCCAGAATGAGCAATTTCAGGGCTCTGACACTTTAACTCATTCACTGCCATTGACGACAAAAGTCAACATTTTCAATCCAGCCATTCATTGCCAATGACGTCTAAAGTTGTCATTTGCATTTTTTTAATGTGTTGTCCTCGGAATGAGCAAGAACAAACATCCCAGCTCTAAAGCTGATCTTCATCCTCGTACATCACACGTCACGAGATCAGGAAAAAGAAAATCCATGTCTTAGGAGATAATTTTGGGCCGCTGCTGTAAAAAAAGTGAGGCGTGAACCGGAAAAGCTTCGCCGATCACAATTCGACAACGGATTATGAAAGAACAGATAACGCTCTAAACACACAGATTCTTCCTGATGTAAGAGGTGAGTCTCCTTTTGTTAGTTTTGGTGTTGACATCATCCTGACACACAACAACTGTGACTCTTAATAAAACAGTATAAACACTGGCAGCGAAGGGTTTTTCTGATCAGGAAATAGCTGGCAGTGAAAGAGTTAAAGTGACACTGTATTTTTCTGGCGATAGGGGGCAGTAGATACCTAAATTGTTTTGAGCAAGCTGCATTTTTGTGTTGGCGTAAGACCTTAACAATGGATTCCCATCAGGGTCAAAAATCCCAGGGGTCTCATTTATTAAAACATTGCGTAGAATCCTTACTAAAACCGTACTTAAGTTCAGCCAAAAAAAATGTACTTACGCCAAGTAGGTTTGTGATCAATCAAACATGGAGTACGCACAGCTGCACACAATCGCCGCTTCATAAATCGGAGACTAACGAGAATGTTTCTCAGCTGCATTTTAGTCACATCCCGCCCTCACCACGCCCACTTTCTGCCATAAATAGTCAATGCAAAGTGCCTTGTGGATCTCGTGCATATACATAAGCCGGCTGTTGCAGCGCTCCGCCAATAACAACGGCGACTGTAGATCAAGGCAGATCAAGAAAGCTCAATTTCACAGAAGCAGAAGTTGAGGTACTTGTGGGTGAGGTGGAGAAATGAAAGGAAGTGCTTTTGCAAAACAAATGAGAAAATCCACGGAGTGGCATAGCGTTGCTGAAGCCGTCAATGTTGTGAATTCTTCAGAGACAACTGTGGCAGATATAAAAAAAAAGGGACCAATCAGGATTCGATCCCCAGACTCCCGGGCAAAAGTCACGTGCGCAAACCAGTCACCTAAATCTCCCTTGTCCAAGTAGCCAGGGCGCATGATCAATCGGGTCACAGTGACAGGACACATACTGTCAGAGACGCATGACATTCTGTCTCAATCTGTCCCCTTGCTGATATTCTGCATTCCGTATTCTGCCCTTCAGGCTGTGTGTATGTGTGTGTGTGCCCGCGCGCATGTGTGTGAGTGCACGTGTGTGTACGTGCGTGTGTGTGCGTGTGGGGGGTCTTGTTCTGTGTGAAAACGAAGCAGTACAAGTTATGATGCTGCAGGATTTCATAATTGTATCCTTCTCAGCAGCAGCACTGCAGGTGCTCTCCATGTCCAAAATGTGCGTAAGCCAGGTCCTTAGTCAACTTAAAGTTGCGCACATTTTTCCGCTAAGTTTTCTTTCATAAGTCCCAAAGTTTGCATGGAAAGTTGCTCATGCAATTTTCCGACCCCGTTTTGTGCGTAAGCAAGCTTGATAAATGAGGCTCCTGGAGAGTGCAAACTTCAGTAAAATAACAAGCACAAGCAACAATGTTTATGCATGGTGAAAGTTTTGAAACCGTTTGTTACAAATCAGTAAATGCATTTTGTCCTCAAGGGCTCCCGTAGAAGGAAACAGCATCTACTATGGCATCGCCTAACTTAGACCTGCTCCCATTTATTTTAGACCTGATTTTTATGGTTAAGAAGCCACCAATATTTTCCAACAACTGGGCATCATTTTAGTCATTTTTAACAACATTTTAATAGATGTTTCCAGAGATTAAAGGTAAAAATACACATTTTAACCACTTTAAGGAAAATAATTTGGTGCTGGCCACGCCCCTTCCTCCCAAAGAGTCGATATCCGGGAGGGGCTCAGCAGCTCTCTCTTGCAGGTGAGTTGGTTGTATTCAACAGTCCCCGTTCGTGATGTCACAGTGACTTTTGATATAGCTTGTTTTAGTCCTAATTCCTAAAACCAAACACTGACAAAAAAGGAATGCTTGGATTTGTTTCACATTTGGAGTATTTATAGAGAGAAGAGGCCCACATGGCAGTACAGAAGCGTGAGACCCTTTAGTTTAGATTTTTGTTGTAGTTGACTGGCCGTTATTTGTATTCTCTGTTTACTATATCTACGATTGCAAGATTAGTACACCCCCCCCCCCCCCTTGAATCTCTGCTATTATAATGTTAATGTATCTGTCATTTCCACCTTTTACTTTTAGCTTGTTTTTTTCTTTGCTGACTAGCCTGAACCGTATTAGTTTTATTGGTGTTTGTGAAACACTCTTTGATTTTTATCAGTGAAGAATGCTTCTGCAAACGGATGCAACAGGTGAATTTTGCAGAAAATGTCCCATTTAATCTGAATACAACAAGCATAGTTTTGGTCTGTATCCTAGAGAGTTAGGAGAAAACCCAAACATGTACAAATGGAGCAAACTTTGGACAACAATAACTCATGATGGAACTTTTGACCTTCCTACGCCAGTAGCATTACTGTGCCACCATGAATCTAATCTAAATTACCATATTACAGTTTTTTTGTTAATCTTGTCTGATTCTTTTGTATTAAAAAATCATGAACTGGTTTGCTGAAAAATAAAATAAAAACATAACTGAAAAAGGGTCTTTATTTACAAAGGCATTTGTTGCTAAAGTTGCAGATGCATTTAATAGATTATTTTTCTGGATACATTTCTGTCTGATTTAAGGCTGAAAAATACATTTTGGGGACTTTCAGCCTTTTTCTCTGCTGTAGTTCATGAGTTCCTGACCCTGACTGTGAGT